AATTTCTGTGGTGCCCCCCTTGCTTGGTGCCCTAAGCACGTGCTTAGATTGTTTACTGGTTAATCCGCCCCTGCACAGCACACACAAACAGCCACACTCAGTCAGTCATATTCCCCCCCTCTTCTAGATGGAACATTATGAAAAAATGTTTTCATCTTCATTAGAAAAATTTGAACAACGAAAGAAGCAGTGGTCAAAATAAAATATTTCCACAAAGTCTTCCAAATATGCAGAATGTCTACGCTTACGCTCACTAATCCGTAAAGTCTGTCCTTCTGGATTGAGTCAACCAACGTCATCGAAGCGACCAAATTGATGCTGCACATCTCCACTGGCTCAATAACGATCACCATGTTATATCTCCGGACGGCCAAGGCTGTTGTAGCAGAACGAGTACAACAATTCCCGAGCGGGCCGGTATAACCACATCCTCTACAGTCACACGACAACAGGGAACCGACGTCTGGTGCTGCGTAGTATTAGTAACATCCTGTCCCTCAAGAACAAAGCGACCCGACGAGTGATACAGAACAAAGTCCCATTTGCCAAGATAGTTTATACCTAGAATGCCTATCCGTGACCCTAGGCCTAGATCAACGACAACAACGGTATGCTCCACAGACCAGCTTTCAATCGCCAGGTTGATATCAAGTGCACCATGAGACACTAATGACTCGCCACTGACAGTACGGAGTAGGGATGGGACGAGTCCGGCATTGCAGAGATTCGACGAATCCGAGTAATAGGTCAAGGACTCGAATCGAATCCTCCGAGTCCGTGACGCCACAATGTAAAAGTAGAAAAACAAGTTTTTGACTATACTACAGCATCGTGCGCTCACAAGCATACGTCGTAACTCATATTTTTTGCCTATTGGTTCCGCAGATAGCTGTTGAATCAATTTAAAAATATTTTTTTCTTCTTTTTTGGCTGCGATAATACAAACGTAAACGTGGGTCAATGTGCGCCTTGGCTGTGAACTGGATTTCCAGCCCACCACCTTGCGTCAATTCTGGGCGGCTATTTAGAAATTCTTACATGTCAAATAAAAAAATAAAAAGCTTTTGATTACAATGCTTTCCCATAATTTCAGATATTTCTAACCTTAAATTTACTATGTCACGTGTGCAAATGGTAGAGAGATGCCACTCGTCGTCAATACAATGCTTGCAATTTAGTTGTTCATGTAAACGTTCTAAAACGATCCATGCTTTCATTGCTCCCTTTTTTAGAGAAAGAATTGCATGGAATAAACTCGATTTAAAAAAGGCATTGATGAGATTCACCCTTGGGTTGATCCTGCCATGTTTCCTATTTATTTAGGCAAATCGAAAACTCAAAAATATTGCTCTAACACATATTTTATTGTGTACCACATGTATACCAAAAAGGATAGATAATTTTACGGCGACTGGCGAATCATTGTTATAAGCTATCAATAGTTTTTACCTTGCGTTATATTATCTGGATATCTGTCGTCGTTTTTATTAGGAGTGTTTATAATACACACGAGTGATATTGTTAAATATCTAACCTTGAATTTCAACTAGTTAAGGTAGGTAGTGAGATTTATAGGAATAAAAATACAAACATATGCGTAAATTAGTAAAAACAGAATTGATTATAGACTCGGTAAAAACGACGTGGACTCGAAATCGAATCCGAGTCCAAAAAATGCCTGGATTCGACTCGAATCCGAGTCCGGATCCGAATCCCGGCCCATCCCTAGTACGGAGTGGTACTCGTAAAGGATGCAGTTCTGAAATGTCCAAATTTTTCTGCAACGTCGATTAAACAGCGTTATCAATGAGCAAAACACCCGCACCGGTATCAATCAAAAACAAAACAGGCACGTTATTGACCAAAGCTTGACATGCCATCCATTAGTCCATGTACAGTAATTGTAAGTGATGAAATCATAGTCGATAGAAGTGGTTCCATATCATCATCCCAAATCATGTTAGCAGGGAGTGCGGACCTCATCCCTGCTGTTCCGAGTTCAAAGACTGGTTGGGCGTGTTCTTCCTATTTCTGCGTGACATATTATGTGTAGAAAATATCAATCCAAATGTTCATTTGCTAACCTAGTACGCAAATGAAATTTCTTTATATTCATGACTCAGAATTCGCAATTTGTTGGACGGCGTCATGTAAAACTTGGTTTGACCTCAAACCCAGTTTTGAGTGTCATCGTCATCGATATATCTAACATACACACTAAATGGTGTTGGACAAATTTATTAGCGTCTATATTTTCATATAAACACAAGTTATTAGGATTTATTATAAATACAGTCAAGAATTAGTTATACTAAACTGTTCTCGTGCACCCAGTGTTGTGTATCCCTGCTGAACACAAAGCAGGTGCATCTCGCATAGCCACAACATTACATCAATACAGTCGCGTAGCAAGACTCTCGTGCCCCCCCCCCCCCCCCCCCCTCCCGCAAAAATATTTCGTGGAAATGACTCTAAAAACTCTCGGACATAAGCTAAAACAACGCTTTTTTTTTATTTCGTCAAAAAGCTCAACATGTCTCTATTAAAAGGCAATGGTAACCTAAAATTTGCCGTTTATCCTGGTTACTTTAATTTTTTTCATACGTTCTTCCTCTTCTGCCCCTTTTCTGCGTTTCTGTGTGCCGCTGAGAGGTTTTGCTTTCGACATCATTCTGACAGCCTTCGTAATTTTGCCGAGGCGATCAAACCACAAGACGCCGAAAATCGACGACTCCCTGGCATAGTTACGTAACAAAACGATTTGAGCAGAGATAACATCAACGTTATAAGATGTGCATTACTGGTTTTGCAATGCAGCGTATGGTTTTGCGGCTTAAATTTCTAAATTCTAACCGCTTGGGCCCCCGCGGGGGTTGCGGGGGTGGATGCTACGCCACTGCATCAATACATTGGCATACCGTAATCTGCAATAATGTATCACCAACCAAACACAAAATGCAACAGATTCAATGGTTTTGTTTTCCATAACTCTACTCTTAATAAAAGGATTTTTTACTCATTTAAATCAGATGACAGAAAGTGACGAATCTTTAGAATTTCAAGTCACAAGTGACAATCACCTTCTTGAAAGAGTAGAATTTCATAACTACTGTACCTAATATATTGATGAAAACCCAAACTGGGATAAACGTATTTGTTAAGAAGATACTGTAGGAATTTTGAGTGAAGTTCGTAAACTCCTTCCAACTCGAGTTTTAAGTATGATATACTTTTCCCTCTTTCTCATATTCAGTATGGTTTGGTGGCATGGGGATAATCAGTTAATAGCAAATTGTAAAAAATAAAACAAAATTTTTACAAAATGAAACTGTAAGAATATTATCTGATTCTTCATCTCGTACTACCGTGTTTCTCCGAAAATATGACCTAGCCTGAATTTTCAAAAAATATTTTAATATAAGTTCTCCCTTTAAAATAAGATCTAGACCAGGGATCGGAGAACCATGGCTCGCGAGCCATATATGGCTTTTTTGGGGGTGGCATATGGCTCCCAGAAAAATTAGTGTTCTAAAGCTAAGCCAGCTTACTATTGTTACAAGATTTCAAACTCTTTTATAACCAAATTTGGCAGAAAATTTGCCAATACGTTTGAGAACGCGCGCCCAGCGTCTATGTCACTAAAAGAATTACCAGACTGACATTGTGACAAAACTAGGAGGTTCTGGAACTTATTTTGTGACATTACAAAGCGATCAGAGTCGCGGAGCAATATAATAAATCTTTTCGTCCGTTTGTATGCACTAGTTACAGTATCTGTCATATTTAGATCGGACTAGAAAAGCTAGTTATAAAAATACTACGGAGATGCCGAAACAAAAGAAGGGTGATGAGTATCGCAGATTTCAACTTGTGCTGCATGTGAGCAGCCGTTCAAGGCCCGCAGCGAAGTCCAGTAAGTGTATATTGACATCCTATGTGCTGACTTTTGAGTAAAAATTTCAGGCCTAATTAAGTGAAAAATTGCTATATGACTCGAACGGAAATGTAGTTGAAAATATGTACCTTTTATGGCTCTCTTGACCAAAAAGGTTCCCGACCCCTGACCTAGTCGATGGCAAGAAATCTCTCCTGCACGTTTTTATATGAATATCGGTTTTTTTATTTTGTATACTTAAAAATCTCGTGATTCTCTACTTTGTAATGTAGCTTTTGATAAATGAAAATAAAAAACACCCCCCCAAATAATTCCTAGTGTCATTTTTGAGAAAAATTGAAATAAGACAGTGTCGTATTTTCGGGGAAACACGGTAGTTGTACTGCTTTATTTGCCAAACTAAAAATACTTGAAGAGTTGTGTTTCTTTAAAGTTGCAAAAGTAATGTATCGATACTCTTCAAATTATCACCGAGAGCGTTCGATAATTATTTCACGGCACAGTATTATATACACAGCCATCACACCCGATCATCAACCCAAGGTTTTTTTTGTTCTCAGATGTTAATCAAAGAGGGTACATTGAGTAAAAATTTGGAATGAATTACCTTCTGGCATTAAAGACTTTACTCATCAAAATTTTAAAACTCATTCACGGGCACTACTGAAGTATGCGCACCAAGATGTCGCATAACCTGACCCCTGAGTTCAGGTTGTGCGCCATCTTGGTGCGCATACTCCAGGAGGTCCCATTCGCGCAATCACTTACTCGAAAAGAAATGACTCGTGTCCAACTAATCCACAGTGTGACTTCCCTCATCACTTAACAAAGAGATTGGCTAGACTCGTAAAACCTGTGACTCACGGATCGGGGTTCAGCGACGGACAAGGAAGCACTAGCGTTTTTACTGGTTGGAAAAAATAAACGTGACTTGACTCAGGATTGCTAATATTGGGTTCGATAAAGAAATTCCCATGATAATAGTTACTGTATTTTCCAAGAACCTAGGTTTTGTAAAATTGGTTCATACCCAGATATTCTGCTGTCCTGACCTGTTTGACTCAAGGATGAATCAAGACACTGCTTTCATTACAACAGATGTCGCTTGATACTTCTATAAATTACTCTTTATTAGTCAAGGGCATGACGAGTGAAGATGAGTGAATTAAAAGTTGCAAGAACACCAAAGCAAATAATTCTACGAATAAACTATAAATGGTGCATAAGTACAGACAAAAATATAAATCTTGGTATATACAGAAAAAGGGATAGATACATCTGGGATGTTCATGAGACCATATTCACAAGATTTCAACACTTTTGCTTTGAACAAGGCTTGGTGCAAGGCAAGGTTACACCAATACCAAAAAACTACAACTCAACCATATTACTGAATGAACTATGGGTGAGGTGCTGCGCATGGAACTCACTAGGAAAAAATGAACTAGACCATGATAACAGGGTTAGAAATAAACTTGGTTTTAGTTTCCTCATATAGTGCGCAACCTTAATTTTAAATATTTCCAGTGCAAGTTTGCATCTCATTGGTTGCCGATAGCTTTGTTCAGTGCTGCGTGCACCTTGCTTGAAATTTTTCTTGAAAAATTTTTTTTTTAATGATTACTAATTACCAATAAAGATGAAGTAAAATGCGAGAAAAGATTGGAAAGAATTTACTATAAACACAATGAAATATAATTTATTTTAATGAGAAAATTGAAAAAATATAAATAGATACAAACGATATAGATAGATACCTGATGAATCGAAAACGTTGCTTATGACAAAAAAACGATCAACAGTCAAAATTTGGTTTAGAATCTTGCTTCTATGACTAAAGCAGACTTTGACCGAAAGTCAACCCAAACATGTTTTCGAGATGCTCAATGCCAGTATTTCACACTCTCAATGGTGATAATAGAAGTCAAAATTGTCTACAAAAAATTAACAAGCAAAGGCGAAATCAATATAGTATAGGTCAGGGGTGAGCAACCTTTTTCGGCTCGCGTGCCAAAATCGGCTAAATTAAACGACAAAATTCTTCCGCATGCCGACCAAAATTAAAAACAATACTTTGCTACTTTCAACGCAAAAATACACAATAATAAACCTTTAAACATGTACGGACAGATTCACTATTCGCGAAAATATTAGTCCGACAAATAGAAAAAACAATTTTATATCAGTGAGACTTCTGCTGCTGCATTAGCGCTAATAGAGATTTTATATTGGATTTATAATTTGCAATTTAAAGAAATTCACAAACTACTGGTTCCATCTTTCAGGCTACTCATGTTACGAGACATATTGAAGTTCCTAACTGAGAACAGAGATTCACGAGCATATGTAGGTGAAGACATGAAGAGTAATGCAGTTACAAAGTCACAAAAATTTTTCGGAAATGGCATCCCAATCGCGCATATTTCTTCCAAAATCAATTAATAACAGTAAGTCAGCAATTATCTCTAACTAGCATGAGCTATACAACTTCATAAACAAAGCAGAAATGAAGAAAAAGAGTGGCACAGTCAAGCTATATTACATGCGGATGTAGCCAACTGAATAGCGCACTCTTCAGAGCTCACTAAAGTGTTACGTCATAATATATTTCTTTGTAGACATGTGTCGTAAAAGGACAAAAAGAGTTTAGATAAGTAACAGATTGTTAACAAACAATAATGAATAAACGAACACCTAGGTTCATCAGATAATTCAGAGTTTTGAAACTTTTTATCTGATGGAGAATGATCTCGTTTCCGAAGCCTCGCTGGCGTGCCGAATAAATGGGCTCGCGTGCCAAAGTGTCAGGGGGTTTCCTACCCCTGGTATAGGGTGTCCATGAAGTCTTGAAATTTTTTTAAAAATTGCAAAAGGGATTCAATTGATACCATATTTTGTTTTAGCCCTCACAGATGTATTAAATGAAGTAAAAATACTTAAACAATTACTGATTTAAAAAACAACAAACCTGGTTGAGAACTGACTTCATAACAAAATTAAAATGATAAAGGGACTATATGGACACCCTGTATCTTAAGAAAGCTTTGCATATGCCCCAAATCTCTTTTTCTTAAATTTCAGTTCACATTGAAGAATTCTGTTAATAAAATATCATAGCCAGAATTTGAACTATTAAAACCATATGCATTCACCACCTGCCACCAGCAAATAGGATATATATACAGTGAATAGTTAGTTTGTGCCATTGCACATTTGTTGAATTCTTTGGGTACATATTGAGCAGTAGTTGAAGTTTGAGCGCACAAATCTGGCAACTACATATAAGTCCACAGGGTTGAAATCTAGTACAGCAACAGGGAAATGTTAAGTTCATGCCAGATATACCCTGCTCATTTGCTGTATTCTTCTTCTACATATTGGGCAGTCATTGAGTTTGAGAGCACAAGTCTGGCAACTGCATATATGTCCACAGGGTTGAAATACAGTGTTCTTGGCATTCTCAAGACAAATTGCGCAGGCAAAGGCTCCATCAGAAGTATCTGGAAGTAAAACATGGGTATTAGCTGCTGGTTTGTACCACAAATGTCCAGGGCAAGTAGAATACCTCATTGCTTGGCATGTTTCTTCAGTTTTATCAGTGCTTGGTCATATAACTCGACATTATTTTGATGTGTTTGTATTCAGTGATGCGTATATAAATCACCAGATGTCGCTAATAAGCTATCTAATTTTGGATGAATCATAATGGCTGTATTCAATTCGAATATAATGTTTTATTCTATGATTATGTAATTTAGAGATAATTTTTTTATCAGATTGCTTTATTTGCTGCTATAATACAGCATTTGTTGTCGCTCACTTCATTTCAACTGCTGTGAAACAATGTTTCTCTATTTTCAATTTACGATATTTTTCTTTGGCTTTAAATTTGTTTCTTGCATGACTAAAATAAATATCTGAATCTGAATATTCTAATTGATTATTGTTCTATACCTAAAATGTTTCGATTTATTTGGATACGATATTGCCGGTTTGTCATATTTTGGAAATCAATGTAAAACTATTTTTAATATATTTGATACGACAAAATCTTGCCATCCCACGTAGTGTACAAAGAAAATGCTGGGATTCAAGGCTTGCATTCTAAAACAGCAAAATTTGACCGGGGTGGGGCCTAACCATTTACGTAAGAAGGGTCAAAAGTTCCTTCCACCAGAATTGGAGTAAAATTTTTGTCCAGACTATGGAGCTCTGCTCTGTTTAAAATATAATCAAATGTCCAACCGGCAAAGTTCCAGTTTTTCCAAGAATACCAACATATCCTTAGCTATCAGTGGCCGTTTGTACAGGTCTCGAAGTGAACAATGTGAATATACGTTGTATAAACAAAATGTTCTGACTATTTGATTTTACCACTTGGCGATTTCAACCACCAAACTTCAACAATATAAATATCTACCTGTTAATTTTTCTACAGATCCATCTAGAGGTGGAAGGCCGCCATAACCATTTCCAGTTTTGTGCTCGTGTTGGTTTTTCTCTTCTTTGCCTGAATAAAATATGAAAAATGTTTAAACAAAATCAAATATTCCAATATATATCAGAATTAGTATATCATACCCTTTTCTTGCTTTTAGTAAAAATTCAAAACTCATTTTTGATTTCATACAGGTATGGCCTGTGATTTACAAACTGTGCACAGGACCCACTCCTGATTTAGAATTTGAAAAAAACAACTAACAGTCAAATACTTCGAAAACTTCAAACTTACTTTACAAATTATGTTTATCTATCTGAGCATCTACCGGTATATATTTTCAAATTTACAACTTCTACGGAAACGAGCATGTCCAAGTTCTAGCAAACTTAGCCACGTGAAATTGTCACAAAGAAGACAGATGATAAATATTAATATCTTTGGATATTTTCCCACACAAATAGGCACCCTCTAATTTTGGAAGTGAAAGTCAGCCATGAAAGTGCTTATTACAGTATTATACATAAAAAAATATGGTATGAAAAATTCTATGCCTAAACTGAATTATAAAAAACTCAATATGCTTAGATCGATATTCACTAAATTACAGTATTATATGCTTTAATTCCTTGTAGTCATAGTAGCTCTTGGCATTTCAGTGGTCTCCATACCTTCACTCAGAGATTGTCCTCGTTACTTCGAGTGTGCATGACCTTACTTTAAGCAATTTTCTTAAATAAATAGTTCAGCAACTTACTGTTGACCCATAATGTGATGACAGTTGCAATAACAGCTCCAGCAACAAATGTTAACAACTTTACCCACATAATGCTTTCGAAGATGGAGTACTGATGTTTAAATGTGAAATTGAAGAAATAAACCGGATGATTCGGAGTGAAATATGATGTTGTTGCCAAGCCTGTTTACATTATATTCGTATCTGTATGGTATAATATAACAGATAAAATATCATAAGACATAGCCTGGGCTGTTTTACATGTTTACGAATAGAATATTCGTATTTATCCTGGAAGAAGAGAAAGGCAAAAAGATAGTGTAATCATATGGTGGACGATGGCCCGTCAGGTTACCATTCTCTGTAGGTCATGGAAATACCAGTTATTTGTTTCAAATGAACTTACTAGATGAAGAAAACCTTAACTGAACAGCAGTTACATCTAACACCCTAAAACAGCATAGCAATCCTCTATCACATAATTCAGTAATTATTCAATTAGGGGAAATGGGCTACATCGCCGCAATGTATGTACACATTATCATCATGTAATGTTGTACAGATCTATTTCTGTATTTTCCGATAAAATCATTTAAATTTAGTACGCTGTAAAGGATGATGGGTAATACACGAAATTTTCTTTTTTGTATGGTACCCCATCGTTGGGTTAGCCAGCTCTCGCACTAATTTCTATATTGGTTAAATATTTAATTTTTCCTGTGTGTTCCGCTCAGCGCATCGGCATTGATTCAAATTTATTTCAAAATTATACACCCGACAGCACTCGCAGACTTGATGAGCAACTAGCATTAATTCTATTTCTTTCTATTTTTATTTCTTTCAGAAGTTACATTCCGATAGGCTCAAAATGTCGCTGTAGAAAATGCGAAAAGAGGACAACTCACCAGACCTCTCTGTTGTCGAGTTGTCTGTGTCTGATAGTCGAGTTGTCCGTCCGGCGTTCTGGGTAGTCTAACTACGGTATTCAGATAAGACATACGACAGTACGGTAAAATTTAATTTTCTATTAATTTGTATATATGATTTGTTACATCGTATTCAGGTACTGGTACCGGTATTAGATAAGTTTATTTTCGACTCCATAATCAGCATAAAGGCGATAAAACAATAAAACTTAAGTTACGTCAGTACAGCAGCACCGTACCCTGGAACTTCTGAACCTAAAGTCTGAAAGTGATTCAATCTAATCCAATCATTTCATAAGCACTTGGCGGTGATTCAGAGAAAAAACATCTTGGTTGCCAACCCAAAAAATATTTTGGTCTCTTTTTCGGTGCTTCCCCTTGTAGTTGCGCTCGATCCAAAGTGACTATGGCTCGATCATAAGATTTTGACTTTTCCTCTAATTCAATCGTTTCATAAGCACTTGGCAGGGATTCAGAGAAAAAACATCTTGGTTGCCAACCCAAAAAATATTTTGGTCTCTTTTTCGGTGCTTCCCCTTGTAGTTGCGCTCGATCCAAAGTGACTATGGCTCGATCATAAGATTTTGACGTTTCCTACTAATGTCCGTCCATGAAGACCGATTAGAAATTTTTTTCTCGGCATCAGTCATTGTTGCACTAAGACAGACACTTTTCATGGTAAAAAAGTATGATCGACGGTTTGCGCCTCATGGACGGCGTTGGGAATATGTTTGTCACCACACCTTTGATTAAACTGCACGTCAATGCCAATGAATCTGAATCAAACGAAATTAAACCCATACCCGCAATGTACTGAAGTGGACGAGAGGGCTTGGTTCACCGTATGATTTGGCCATGTTATGAAGAAAAAGACTCACAAAACAATATTTACAGTGAGTGAATTCGACTAATATCGTTTTGTTTTGGTCCGTTTGCAAGACCGATAACGATCACTGAGGCTCTGATTCGATGGAAAAGAAATAAGTATGCAACAATTCAGAGACAGCAAAAGTTGATGGAATATCTTAGCCCCGGGATAAAAATGGAAATCCTATTTCTATTGAAATCATATTGAATATAAATTTACTTTTTTTCATGAAAGCGGTCGTAGCTGGATTCACAATTAGATTTGTTCACTTTATCCTAATTTCCAGTCTTGGTTGTGGCCCGGTAATACCATGTGTCCACATATAGTTCATAGGTGGGAAATCATAATACTATAGCAAAATATATTTGCTAATTGGTTGTAACTTGCTAGACTGGTGTATTGTTTGGTGATATGTCGTCGTCTATTTTGGATCCGACAAAGACACTTGATATTCATAGTTCCGAATATATGTAATAAATCGTTAACAGGTCCAGAGCATGGCTGATAAGCCAGACAAAATCCAAGTTACACTGCATGCATGGCGAGTCGTGGTAATAAGTTTCTCACTTAATCGTTTGTTGTCTTTATTTGCTGATTCCCATCGTAATACGTGATCATTTATAAACCAATTCTACCCGCAGACGAATTACATATTTCTACACCCTTATGGCCGCTATCTTACCCGAAATACACATCGCACAAAAGACTAAATTCTACTGAACTCGCCTACCGTAAAACACTACAATCTGGTTTACAAAAAAATACAACTGCAAGCTTTTGTGGTGCATTTCCCCAAAAAGTATACTTTCAATAATTTTCGCGATAAAAAACAGCGTGGAGAAGAGTTTGCCAGCATTGGTGAGACAAGCGATGGAGAACTCAACACTCAAGGCTCATCAACGTAGGCTGTAGTTTCGTTGGATTCGAACGTAGTTCTTGGAATTTCCATACCACGTATGCTGATTGCGTAGAATCATCGTCGTGGGAATGATTTAACCACTTAATGCCGGAATTATGATCCGCTGAGAGAAAAAAAAATCGCCGCTCCGGTTATTTGCTAATTCAAGGCCGTAGAATACGAATTTAAACTTATTTTTTTGTCTCACCCCCCATTTGGGAGAACATTTTTTGTCACGAAATCGATACACTCGTCCACGTGATGAATTTATATCCAATTCAATTCGAAACAAACGAAACCGGACGCCAGAAAATGTTCAGTAGACCGTACTATTGGTCATTAATATACGCGATGGTACCACCAGGGGGATGAAACTAGTCTAGAAAGCCACGCCCACATTAATAAAACAAACAAAGTTATTCGCGTTGCAAGTTTCTGCAGCTTCACGCTCCATTGCGATCACTTGATTTGCGCGGAGTTTGGTGAAGACGGTGGTATGTGCACAAAATGTCTCGCTGTATATTTTTAGCTCAGCAGCCTATAGGCCTAGTATTTCATTAAGTTGGTTCAATACTTTAATCAAATGCCGGTTGTCCATCTTAAGCTTGGTCTCTTTACTTTATTTCAAGATAGATCAGATTTACTTTTCGGCTTTAACTGGTATTTCCCCCTCAAGACAACGCAGGTACGGTAACTTGGCGTTATATGAAACACCTCAATATTCTACCCGATTATCGTAACCTAGGGCCTAGGCTACTTTATTTCTTATGTTCTGTGAGTCCGGTACTGGGTTACGATTTTTTTAGTTACACACCCTCCATTCTAGGAGATATAATTCTACTATTATAACTTACGACTAACATACCAGCCCTATAGTCTGATAGTATTCACAGATTTACAAAACACCAGAAGTACCAATTTCTTTTTTCAAAGTCAACCCGTTTTATCTCTGCTTTACGGTATTAAGAATTGCATAATTTGTATTATACTGTTATAAGCTATTTATTCACATCACTCATCAACATGAGTAATCGATGTTGCATTCCAGTATGTTCAAGATTGTAATTTTATATAGAAAGAGAGAATATTTAACAAAGCCTCACATTCGCGTCTTTGAATTGGTGCAATACTCAAGATGAACGCCAACTTTGAATAAATCTTCTCCAAAAAAGAGGAAAGTAGCTGAAAAAATATGTCATAAAAATTTGCAAGACTTGGAAAAAAGATCCTTAAACTTATTCGCCTTCCAACTGGCAATACCATGATTGGACCTCCAGGAGTATGCGCACCAAGATGTCGCACAACCTGAACATAGTATGTGTGTACCGGTTAGGATTCAGGTTGTGCGACATCTTGGTGCGCATACTTCTGGAGCACCCCAAGATTTATAAGACAATATTCAATTTTTTCTCAAGCCCTAATCAGCTGCAGAGCAATCAAGTTTAGCTATAAACATTGATTCAGAGGTGGAGATCGGTGCAATTTATCATGGCTGGACTAGTGTAACATCGGAAGTCCTAAATAATATTGATGTAAAAGAAACAACTTTATCAAATATCCTGCATATTATTTGAATATCGATCATTTGTGAGGGGATAACTAACAGCAGTAATTCCAGTTCTACAACAAGTCAACATTTTGAAGTGTCCTTTTCGAGATCTAATTCGAACAAGGGCCTTCACAGCTTAGATTGCTTGCTTTAAGGCAGAGGTGGCCAACCTTTCACATACCATGCGCCACGTTTTAAACATAATGTTTCAGATGCGACGTAAATCTCTTGTATACCCACGCCTAATGTCCGCTTCTTGTTGAAATTATAAAATTTATCATACACACACATATATACACACGTATATGTAGTTTTTACAATTTACAACTTCACATGAATAGAAATTAAGCAAGGAAGTATAATAAATAAAACTGATCAATTTTATTTAAGTACCGCCTTTATGAGACTTTTGCTGCTGTTTTACTTTCGCCAGTTTTTTTATTCTTGGAGTTAAGTTTGTTACTGAGAGGAGCAGTGCATTCTTCAAATTTGAATGTAAGTCTTGACCTCGCTTTGCTTTTAATTAGTTTCATGGCAGAAAATGTTTGTTCACATCTATATGTCGTTCCGAAACGACATATAAAACCCTGGGCAAATTTTCTCAGTTCTGGAAAATTTTCACGAGGTAACGTTTGCCAGAACTTGATCAAGTCAGATGCACTTGGGACTGAAGAATGCTCATCAAATTTAATTTTCAATGGTGGATGAGTTTTCAAGTCAATTAGTTCCAATTGTATATTGCTTGGCATCTTCATTATGTTTAGTTCACTAAGTGAAAATGGGTTTATAAAAGCAAGTATAGAGTCTTCTTCTTTTGAAATATCATGAAAACGACTTGAATGAATGAATATAGTATAACGTAAGTAAGTAAGTAATGAATGAATATATAGTATATATATATAGTTAACTCAACGAAAATTCTCGTATCCACGCAAAAATTCGAGCAATTTACGATAAACAGATTACGATTGATTACGAAACAGGGAACCATTGTGACGCCATGCTTCAAGTAAAAACTACAGCCTTCCTGAAAGTAGGAGAAAAACGTATTCTGTCTTATGAGCATTACGCAATAAAGCTGTTTTTACCAACGAAGAGAAAAAGGTACGAATAAGAAGTAAAGTTAGGCGTAATATTGTGACAACAGGCCTCTAGTATCAATATCTACTCTACTCTACCCTCGATTCTAATTGGCCTTTGCTAATCAGCTGTTTGGCCTAGCGTCGCGTGATTTTACTCCAGGCTTCTTCAAAATTAGTACTTGCGTCACAGCAAGCGATTTTACGCTTCGCTTTTGTTGACAACGGTCATTTGAAGTTTGGATGTAAAAGGTGGTATTTAGGGGTCATTTTCAGCATGTTGTGGGTTGATTTATAATAAACTTTTTAGGCTTGGGCAATTCAACCGGTTGTTCAATGGTTATTGGGAGATATTTGGGAAGTCTGGGCAATGGAAAATCCATGTTTCAAGCTGATAAATGACGATTTTCTATTTTTCCAGAAGTTCTGAACTTTTTACTCCAGTAGGGAAAAAATAGTAAATTTTACTAATTTTTGCTAAAAGTCTAGAATGAATGTCATAAAGTCCGTCCAAAAGCTAACGTCGATAATCGCCTGTTGTTCCTAATTCCAACAAGCCGTAAGTGGACGACGTGGAGTAAGGAGAATAGATTTTGAGTACAATCAAAAGTCACCATGTAAATCGCAAAAAAACGGCTTGGCGAGGAGAAGCCGAGTGCAATTAACAATTTTGGCATGAAAAGGGTTAAAGATGCAATGCGCCACCTCTAATCATGCAATGCGCCACGTTTGGCGC